CCTTTACTCGAGTGTGCATGTGTGTGTGTGCGCGTGTATATTGATCTAATGTTAACGTGAGACATTTACCAAAAGGAGTTCCAGTTCTGATGGCGTCCATCTTGTGATGGACAAAAGATGAGTACATTTTCATCCGAAACGAGGGAGAATGGCTCGGAAACTACATCATGCGAAATGAGTATATCTTCAACAATATAGACTTGGTTCTACCTCGTTTTCGCAACCTGGTCCAAGTGACAGAGACCTCGTGAAGCGCATCCTCTGCCGTCGAGTTGCCATGCCGCATTCCGGCAGCGGACCTTTGACGTGGTACCTCCGCAGACGTTTCGCCGGCAACGTCAGTTGCAAGTGCAACTGAGCAACGTTGGATGGCGCCTCCCAGTGACGTTGGGCAATACGAGGCCGGCGGAACGTCCGGAAATGTACCAACCCAACGCCCAGCTGCTGAGGTGAAGCGGCCTTGAGCGACCCTGCAACAGAACTGTCCTTCACAGACTTTCAGGACATCATGTCCGGAGGGGAGTAGAGCCAAAATGTTTGTATGAATTCTGCACTAAACACAATGACTACTGACCTCATTCACGTGGCCTAAATTCCACTTCTCGATCAAAAACGCAAAAGGCCGGCGGAGATAGACTGCACCCATGACGCAGACGCTGGCTGAGCGCGAAGCTCGCACCGACCTGCCCAATCGCGAACTAAAATGTACGAAACTGGCGCCCGATGCCAGCTTAAACAGTCGTGTGATTCGAATCTCGGCTTCTGATTGGCTGTAAATGTCTTGCTCTGATAGGTCCAAAGAAGGACTCGACGTGGTGGAGCGATTTGATTGGTTAACACGAAAACAGAGTCGTCTGTGAGCCCAGAAAGTTGTTTTTACAAAAGAGTAGGTCATTTGAGTAGTATAATATTATTTTTTTTAATTGTAGATTTATCCGCCAGAATGCTCCCAAACGTTCGTGCAATATCTGTGAAGATAAACTATTGACGGCGCCTCAAGTGAATCGTTTCTATCCGCCCTGCTTCCTCGAATGGCGGGCAAATTATGTCGGATCCAACATGGCCGTCAACTCAACCTTCAGTGATGGTACGCATTTGGTTGATTGTCTCAGCAATTCTTGCATAAGAACTCTGTCAGTCCGCACCTTTTAAATTGGCTGAGGGACTGAATTTTCCAGTTTTCCATAATGATATGATTAAGCCTCACAATATCTTTAAATTTAATTATGTCGCAATCGACGACTTTCCAGGACAGAACAAAGGCTTCTAATTATAGTCTCACTTTCTGAACATTCACTTTTGACACAAAAAAACTCATCACCTTACCCGGACATGTACCTGCCATGGCTCAGCATGAGTGTTGGTGATCAAGCCGTGAAGCTCGGGGGCCGATGTTACGTTTTCTTCCTGTTGCTTGGAGCTAACTCTTTTGACTTGCTGGTCACACGCAAGCATCAACGCACAATCGCGCTCGCAACCGTGCATACACGCATAACTTGATGTTGAAAGAAGGTGTATATATTAACGAAATCATTGCACACATATTTTTGGTGTAAGCCTGCTTAGAAATGGTTGGGTTGGCGTACATTTCGAGTGAAAGTGAATAGAAATAAGGCAGAGATTTGATCAGGCCGGTTGCATCGGAATACGACGTCGTGGTCGTTTGGACTTATTGGAACACTCGTCAGTTCTTTCTCCGAGGCAACCTACTGCCATTCCGATGAGAATGTCTATCATATACCGCATATACTCGGACATTTGAGCAGCATGCTTACCATCAATTCATGCCAACAGACCAACAAAAGTCTACGCATTTTCACAAAATTTCACATACACGCTGTAAATGTGATGTTTGTAGGAGCACTTCATGATGAAGGCAAGATTGAAACGGAAACTGCTAGTTGAATGCATGGACAACTATTGGACAATTTGGCCACCCTTTAAGGATAGATTGAAATGTAGTTTATTCGAAGAAAAGTTGGGCTTAGAGGAATCTCTTGTTTCATAATTGTTAAGCTTACTTCCGTTTCGAGTGGAAGTGTTGAAGGGTGAAGAGATTTGAAGGTCGGTACCACCAGAAGACGACCAGCGACGGATTCCTCTTGACCAGCTGTCGATTGGCTTTACTGCAACATTCATGCTGATGCTGTTTCCGAGGCAATCTCTTTCAATTCGGGTGAAAAGGTGCTAAGCTTTCGTCCGTCACGTGACGGTAACATCGTCATATGACGGACGAAAGCTTAGCACCTTTTCACCGGAATTGAAAGAGATTGCCTCGGAAACAGCGTCAGCGTGAAGGTTCCATTAAAGCCAATGGACAGCTGATCAAGAGGTATCCGCCGTCGTCTTCTGGTGGAACCGACCTTCGAATCTCTTCACCGCACACTTTCACTCGAAACGTAAGTATCTTATTCGTACTAAGCCAAAGGGATAATGATATAATGCAATATTATGAATATTGAAAAGGATACTGGCTTTCGAAATCTTGATTAGCATAACAGGAGGAAAGTTAGACAAAGAGGCAGAGTAGAAACCAACATATGTTGACTCTATTCAAGAATTACTGAAAACCTATCAAGCTAATTATCTCGAAAATGTTTTAGTTATAGCCTTGACTCTTTATTTAACATATGCAAAGAAAAGTTGGGGGTTTCGAGGAATCTCTTGTTTCGTAATAGTTGAGCTTAATTCCATTTCGAGTGAAAGCGTTGCGTGAAGAGATCCGAAGGCCGGTTCCACCAGAAGATGACGGCGGATTCCTTTTGGCCAGTTGTCGATTGGCAGCGACTTGGAGTTATGAAACAGACTCCGATCAAAACAGGTAGAATCGTAAAACACACTGGCAGACCCAAGCCTGCTGCCTCGATGATGGCAATATACATAAATCAGAGGTTGTTTGACCATATTTTCGCAACTTGGTCGTATTGGTAGGAAGACTTAGAGGAATGCACCTTGTCTGGAGTCCATGGTATGCATCACCATTTCCAGAGTAGGACCGTGGACGTGGTACATTCACAAACGTTATGGTATCTCCATTTTTGCCCTGGCCTATTTACACTTCTTATATCCTCATATCATGCTTTCACTTTTTCAGTGTTTACCGTGTTGACCAGAGCCTGTTTTAGTATTATGCACTCCTCTTTCCTAGTCTTCTCCCAGTTGTGGTTCAACATTGAACCAAATCAAAACAAGCTGTACCACAACATTTGTGGGTTGGCACACAATAGACCAGGGCATGGCAAATCATAGACTCGGTATTAGGGATAGAAAGAGGATAGAGGCGGCGGGGACCGGAGCTAGTTGGCTGACGGTATGCCGGTTGTACCAGAGACATGGTACATACAGCAAAGGGGTGGGGACCATGACATTCAGAGTCTTGCATCTCGAATTAATCACCGAGACGCAGGGGAGTGTCAATAATGCCTCGAGTAGGATAGATGTGGTGGTAGGAGTCGAGTGAAATAGGTGAACGAGGGAGAGAGCAGACGGATTTTAAGGGGCGAGAGAGAGACTGGGATAAGACTATGAAAGAGTGGAGTGCATAATAATAAAGCAGACTCTGGTCAACACTCCCTACACAAGAATGAAAGGAGGGTGAGAACGACAGTTGGAGTGTGAAGGTGTCATGTCGCTCAAAGGAGCACACCACACTACATCAAAATAAACACAATAAAAATTGTAGCAGAGAAGGTGTGATAGGAGGATATAGGAACTGTGAATAGGCCAGGGCAGAAGGGGAGGTACCACAACTGTTTAGCACACGATTGGTCAAAGGATCGGTTTCGCATGTCTCTTTGACGAGTTGTTGTGTCGTGCTAAGAATGGCGAGACTCACGAAACGTTTGTGAATGTACCACGTGCACGGTTCGACTTTGGAAATGATCATGCAGATAATGGACTCCGGACTTGGTGCGTTTCTCTAAGACTTCCTACCAATATGACCAAGTTGCGAAAACAAGGTCAAACAAAATATTCGAAGGTTTATCGCATCGGAAGACAACGGGAGACTATGTTGTACTGTCGCCATTTGGCATTGATACGACCTCCAGGTTGACGCATTTCACGTCGTCAGAGCTAAACTCATTATTATTGTAAAAGTGTCAAATTGGAAATAGGTTGAGATGTTTGTTTATACATTTTTGCTTATATTTACGACGTAAGACAGATCCGAAAAATCTTCTTGACTTGGTCCATGTTGAATTGAAACTTTTACTAGAATGACTTCCATCTCTGAGGATGTCCATCATATGTTGTACGCCAACAAGGGCAAATGTTTGGTCAACTGCATCAATCTAAATGTGGTATTTAAACGAAACGGCTGAGGTACAACGAATTGTCACCTTCGTCTTCTGGTGAGATCGCCTTCGACTCTCTTGTCCATCCACGATGATAAGAAATAAAAGTCTCCTAAACAATATATAATATTTGGAGATTAATCGGAGCCCAGTGTTAATATTATAGTCGCCCAATTTCGTTTCAGACAACGAAGGACTGATGGTTGAATTTTCTCACAATTAGTTGAATATGCCTTATACTTTCTCTGAATTGCATATCGCTTTGCTTCCCAAGAAGTATCCTTATCGAGAAAGGACTGATGATGATTGTGGTGCTGATGAGACTTTGGCGAGGTATAAACTGCCAGCCAGACAAGCCTGCAGAAGAATACCTTTTTGGAAGCAAGGTTACGTGAAAAACGATGGAAGCGTGAGGCCTACTGCAATCATTGTGGGAAAATTCAACTGTTAGTCCTTCGTTGGCTGAAACGAAATTGAGCAACTATGACATTAACAAATACGAAGAGTAACTGGGCTTCGATTAATCTCCAAATGTGATATTGTTTAGGAGACTTTTATTTCGTATCATCGTGGATGGACAAGAGAGTCGTAAGGCGATCTCACCAGAAGACGAAGGCGAATACCACATTCAGATTGATGCAGTTGACCAAACATTCGCCCTTGTTTCGGAATAGAATGGACCAATCTTGCGTACACCATATGATGGACATCCTCAGAGATGGAAGTCATTCTAGTAAAAGTCTCAATTCATCATGGACCAAGTGAAGAAGACTTTTCGGATCTATCTTACGTCTTAAATATAAGCACAACTAAAAAGCAAAAATGTATAAACACACATCTCAACCTATTTCCAATTTGGCACTTTTACAATAATGAATTTAGCTCTGACGACGTGAAATGCGTCAACAACAGATTCATCCGTTGTCTTCTGATGCGATGAAACTTCGAATGTTTTATTTATGCACTTTTGTGTCTCCCTGACACAGCAGATCTACGGCCAGTCTATAAAACCTACTTATAAAGGGTAAATAAGTAGTGCTCTGGCGGCCGGACTGGGCTGTGCTCACACTCACGTCGACGCTTCGAAACCATTTTTTCATTTTGTTGGTGTTGTTGTTATTGTTATTATTGTTCTTGTTGTTGCTGTTGTTGTTGTCTCTTCCCCTTTTCAGGCAAACAGATCAACACTCACTGCAGCTCCTTCATGACGGCCGAAGACTATGCTGGCCAGGCCATTAGTATTCGGTGAGTCTCTCTCTCTCTCTTTCTTTTTTCACATACACACATACACACACACACACACACACATCGACGAATAGCACCAAGCTTCTTAGCTGCCGGGCTGCAAACAAACAGACTCAAGCTCTGACAGCCTCAGAGGCACAGACGTCTTTCAAGTCACTCTCTCTCTCTCCTCATGACCACCATTTGGCCCTACTCTCTCTGCCTAGAGACCCCAGCGAGCCGAGTTTGTCCCTTGATGCATGTTGAAACGACGTGAAATGGGGAAACCAAGTCGACGTCCCTCTGTCCCATGCATACAAACATAAAAGCATGCACAAACCTTTTTAGTTGTGCTAAGCGGTGTACATATTGGAGGCATTGCACTACTCGTGAGACCTACAAGTAGTAGGTCTGGTTCTAGTTTTCCATTTGCATGTTACTTGCGAAAATGGCATATAAGTAGTGTAATTGCGCTTGCTAGACAGAAGACAATAATCTAGTTCCAGGAACACCATTTGTAGCATTTTTACTTTTAATTTATTTGCAATTTATTCTTCTACTCGGTGTGCTACTCTCGGCTCGGCTCGGCGCTGAGATGATGTGGGCAAATTGCTGAAGGAATAGTAACTCTCCGATTAATAATTGACATCGGACTTTTTATAGTTTACGTAATTGGTCACCCTTTTTGGTTGCTATCCACACCTGTTTATCGCGTTTTTATCTGGCATCTTGAGGCTAAATCTCTCAGTGTATTTGGTAGAAGAATAAAGTTTCCTTGCTGATTTTCCGAGCTTGTAGTCATGGTTGATTAAATCTTCTTTTTGCTGTAAAAGCAATTGCACTAAGATTAAAATAGTTCTCATTCAGCCCCACTAGAACCTCGTGAGTAGTCTCAGATGCGGCTCCGATATTTTGCATGTGCATTGAGCTTTTATTACACCTTCAGCACGGACTTGTCATGAGAGGAGTTTGTATTTGGACGGTTTTTTTCTTGAAATGTCTAGCCACTTTGCATCTCAGAAGAGATGGTTTCATTAATCCGCTAAAAATAGTGACTCGTCGCCTTCTCCTAACCTCAAACGATGGCACCACGTTTACTCTGAGGAGGAAAGGGGTCGTCTCGGTAGAATGGCCAGAAGCGGGGAGAGATCCGCTCGGCTCAGCTGAAGCTGAGACAAGAGTGGTCTGAAGACCTCCTTCAGTCCTGCCTTAAGCAGAGCATCAGCGTTGACGAATGCTTAAGCGAGAACTTCCGCTCTGGTGGGCATCCATTCATTATGTTGGCGTCGCTTCAATGTACACAAGTTCAGCATTGTTCGAAGAATGGTGCTGGCGGTTGTGATGGAAGAGAGGGTCGAACCAGAGGCGTGTGGAGTAGAGATTGTAATGAGGATGATAAACAATGAGCTGGTCGAGTTGGTGTTGATTTCGTCGTCTTTGCTGTTGTTGATATTGAAGATGGCGGTTGTGATGGAAGCAGAGAAGGTGATGCTGCTGGATGTGGAGAGGATGGATGTTGATGAGAATGTGAAGGTTG